TTTTTCAAGAAGTAAAAAAAGTTAAAATACCTTTTTTTGAAAAATACAAAAAATATTTTTTCTACAACTGTCAAAAAAACCTGTCATTTTCTGACGGATTTCGAAACGCGAAGTACTAGATTTTTAATCGGTTAATTAATAAGCAAGGTTGCTCTTGACAACGTGCGCGAAATCGTCAACAGTGAAAAAAAGTATTTCGCGCACGGGACAAAGTTGAACTTAAACAGCAATTTAATTAACAATCGGTTCAGTTGTAGAAAAAATATTGTATATAACGCTAGCGCGAAGTTATTTCGCGCATTTGACTGATATTTTAACTCGGCTTCGCCTCGTCAAAATATCTTCAGTCTCAATGCGCGAAATTGAACTTTGCGCTCTTGTTATATAAATAACTATTTTGTACATACCTCCTTTTTCCAATTTTTTGTACAATATTTTATATTGAAAAAAGGAGTTATGTACCTACACTTATGCTTTTATGTTGACCTGTTGGAGCTATTAAGTGTGCTGTGGATAGGCGAGTATAAAAATAACTACAGTGTTGAAAATATTTTAGTTGTATATTGTTTTAAAAAAAACTTATTAACATTGCTTTAGTCATCGTTGCCACTTTCTCGGCGCTCGAATAAAATCTGCTCAAAAAACCACTTATGTTGATCTGGCACAAAGCACAGTTGTTCTTTTAGGTTCTCGATCTTTTCCTGAGATAGAGATCCGGTCTTCTCTAAATGCCTTGGGATGTAAAAGTCTCGAGGAAGAGTATCAATGGATGCTACACTTTTACGAATGTTAACTTTTAAGAAGGGGACACATAAGTCATAACTCTCTTTGTAGAGGTAAGATACAAATTCGTCCACATGAATCCATTTGATTCCATCTCTGAAATGGATTTTCTCTTTTAAGAGATTTTTTTTTCTGTTTAAAAGTTTCATTTTTTGTGGCAAATCTTCTGTGTTTCTGAAGTGGTTTTCCATGTTAATGACCAAATTTTTTTTGCTCGATGAAGCTATGACTTCCCGATACTCTTCAGGGGTGCAGATAGTTTGATGTTTCCGTAATCTCTTCTCTATTCGCCCAAACGCCCGGTCAGAATCTAAATAAGAATGACCAACCTCTGGGAATTTGTGGTCAATAGTTTTAAAATGATCTCTTTGAACAAGATATTGATATAGACAAATCATTAGAAAATTTTTATTCTGCCCGGCGCACGAGTCTGTCCAAATTATTAAATGGTCTTTCTCTTTGAGTGAAGCTTCAACTTCTGAAACTCTAAGGAGACAACTGAAAATCTCACTGCTTCCCCTGGAAGCTTGATCTTCTGTCCAAGTACAGAAAACTGTTTGGTCAATATTTTTCGCTACAATATGGATACCCAGGTTATAAAACCACATTTGGTGAAAGGTACTTCTTGTGAATGTTACAATTCCTTGAGTAGTGCGACTCTTCAGCAGGGAAACTAGATATATGACGGATGATGTAAGCTGCAACATTTTCAGTTGTTTTATTGGGTCTGTTGTTATGCTTGCCTCTTCTGTCTGGTGGGGGGGCAGCTAAGCCAGCCTTTATTTTTGATTGGAGTAAGTCAACTTTTTTGTTACTTATTTGATATAATGATACAAAAGCCCGTTTGCACACAATAGTTTGTTTGGCATTGTATGCGACAGTATATTTGTAAGAAGCGGTCTTGTGTTTCACTGCTCCAGTTCTCATCCGTTTTGGTTGGCTTAGTATAATACTCTTAAAAAGTAAACAGTTCTTAGCATTTATGTCTAATGCATAGAAAGATGTTAATATTGCTTCTCTTTCTACTATGGTAAATGCACTAGAACATTGTAGGCGGCAATTTTCAGGACACAAATTACTTGCTTCAACATTTTTAGCAGGTTTGGTCTCACCTTTGTAAGTTTTATAGGCCTGCCCTCTTTCTCTTAAAATGGCCGATCTGCGCTTCTTCCATTTATCAGGATTTCTCTGTCTTCTTCTAGTCACTTTTAATTTTGGGGAGAAGCATTTTTTTTTTATTTCACTGGAGACGAAGTCTGCTCTTCCTTACTTTGGTCAACAAGAGTTACATGATTTGTCTGACTTAGTGGTGTATGGTCGTCCTGTGACAACATCTGATCATTGTACTCACCCATCAGCTCAGAAGGATTCTCATCTTCCATTACTTTATGTCTTTTGGTTTTGGTGTTTTGAAATTTCTTTTTTCTCACTTCTGTTACATTTTCGTCATCTGAATCACTGACATCTTCTTCATTTGGTTGATATTCGTCACTTGACTCACCAAATAAATCACTACAGCCACTTTCATCGATGTCGTATTCCTCTCCATCATAGAGATTTTGCTTTGATGTAGAAGGTTGGACGTTCTTGAGGTCTATGTATATACCCTTCAAATGGCTTTGATCCTACAAAATAAAAATAACATTTAAAAAGGTGTCAAACTTCTGCCTGCATTGCAAAGAGTTCAGTTCACATCCAGCCTATGACTCCAAAATTCTACAAACCCTGCACTTTGCTCTTGTAGACTAACTTTAATTACCTATTTATTCAAATGAGAAGAAAAGTAAATACCTTGTTCCTGGAACACGTTGCCTTTGCTATCATCACCATTTATTGAAACTATTCTTTTTGGGTTAGAATCACTGTTTTCACTTTTTTCAATACTTTTGCTAGAATTAATCTCAACTGTTTCACTGCTAGTATCTCTGTTTAGAGCTAAGTTTATCATTAACCTTGTTCTGGAGGTCATTTATTGTAACTATTACATACCTCCAAATGCAAAACTTTGGCACAACTACACAATATAACCTTAAATAGACGACTGATTTGCAGCGGCTATATGGAGCATGAAAGAGGTATGTTACACAGCTGATTGTTTGTGCTAATGGATGAAAGAGGTATGTGTATCTTTATTTAACATACCTCGTTCATCCACCAGAAGTATACATCGTTGCGTTCACATACCTCCTTCATGACACTGCTATCTTCGTTAAAATTGGCTGAACAGGACAGGTGTCAGTGCGAAAAAATAGTTTAACACATACCCCCTTCATTCATTACAATAACTCATTTTTTGAAAAAATGTCACATACCGCCTTCATCCACTCACCCCTTCATATATAATTCGCTTGCATGGAACCAATCTGCAATTTTCCTAGTCGATTGTTCTGCGACCGCGGATGCCTCCCCCACATCGTCACGCAGCTCTGAAACAGTAGTGTCATCGACGAACAGTGTGAGATGAGCATCGGGTACGGCGTGATTTATATCATTAACAAAAATTAAGAATAATACCGGTCCCAAAATGGACCCTTGTGGTACCCCCCTATTTACACTTATGAAAGTAGATGTACATCCATGAACGTAAGTGCATTGCTTTCTGCCACATAAATATGAGCGAATAAGTTCTACACTAATAGCGTCAAATGCGTAGTGGTTTAGTTTATTGATCAGTATGCCATGTGCAACGCAATCGAATGCCTTTTGCAAGTCACAGAATATGGAGACTGTGCACAGACCAGCCTCAAAACCATCAACGATCATTCCTACTAAGTGGTTTATGGCCATAGTGGTGGACATTCCAGATCGAAATCCAAATTGGTTAGTGTTAAACAAATGGTTTACTTCAAAATATTTGCAGATTTGATTTTTTAAGATTGATTCGACCACTTAGTACTGCTACTGAGGTGAGGTACCTGAGTCCTGACTTTCACGAAAATAAGAATTTTAAATTTTAAAAACAGGAATTTTTTTTTCCCATAACTTTTGATTGAGACGTCTAATCGAAAAAGTACGAATCGTTTTGGATTCTACGCACCCAAATTAATAAGAAAAAGTTTTTTCCCGAGAAATTTTGGTGCAGTCGATTTTTGGTAAAAAAAGGAAGGTAGGTAATAACTGCCTTTTTTTTGCCCAGAAAAAAAATAAATTGTCTCAGATCGACCGGAAAAAAATATTTTCTTATAGAATGTGGCCTGTAGAATCCATAATTCCAAACAGTTCCAAGATCGGACTACTAGTTCAAAAGTTACACCCCTTTGAATTTTTTGTCGAAATTGGTTTTGTGCCCATAACTTTTGATGGAGACGTCTAATCGAAAAAGTACGAATCGTTTTGGATTCTACGCACCCAAATTAATAAGAAAAAGTTTTTTCCCGAGAAATTTTGGTGCAGTCGATTTTTGGGAAAAAAAGAAGGTAATACACTGCTTTTTTTGCCCAGAAAAAAAAAATTGTCTCAGATCGACCGGAAAAAAAATTTTCTTATAGAATGTGGCCTGTAGAATCCATAAGTTCAAACAGTTCCAAGATCGGACTACTAGATCAAAGTTACAGCCCTTTGAATTTTGTGTCGAAATTGGCTTTTTGCCCATAAATATACCTATTATTCAAAATTTTCGTTTACTAATTAAAGCAAAAGCAATAAAGGGGCCTGTCAGCAGTAAGAAATAAAATACCGTTCTAATCTAATCTTTTTCGCCTGTGCAACGTGCAACCCAATTTCTATTTCTTACCCCCCCCCCCCCCCTTCTAGTACGCACTGGGTGACTGCATGTGCCACGAACTTGTTTAATCCCCCCCCCAGAATAAATTTCTACGTACGCCACTGCAGCGTTCACCGGTCACCGCATTCCGTTGAAGCTGTTTTATATATGATGCTTTGTACATATTATAAATCAGTAAACCAAAATTAACTGTACTTGTTAAGTTCTTAAAATCCTCAAACTTTGTATCAGTTAATTATATTCACCGGGTAGAAATTACAAAAGCGAGATGTAATCTTGGTGCTCAATATACTCTGTTCCACTCCCCAAAAATAACTTTGATTATTTCTATGATATTCAAAATGTGATTGTCTTTCGTCTGATCCCAGCTGGACATCCTGTATAGTTCATTTGATCATCTGGCAACACTGCTTCTTCTGTCGTTGATAACAAAACATCGTGTATGTATTAACATAACCTCAAAATCTTTAGTTGGGTAAAGCCTAATAACATTTTTAATTATTATTTGGTTTTATTTTCTGTTGTTTTTAGTTTAATTTAGTTCAATTCTCAACTCCATACAAATTGCCATAAAAGAATAATGTTATTGCATGTGTTGCTTATTCCCCTTTGTTTTGATGAAAATCATATGACTAATTAATTGATCTTTGTTCAATGAGAACTGCTTAGTAAAGTAACTGTAAGTTTCAACTTGTAGGAACTCTAATTAAATTCAGGCAAAAGTTCCTTCATTTCTACTTAAAATAATGTCCACAAGGTCATCTGTAAATTCGATACATAGCAAACAAGGAGATAAATCACAGGATGAAGTGAGTAAAATGAACTTTGTCCAAATGTACACAACATTCTTCCAGAAACTACTCCAACCCTTTACTTACATTACACAAACACCCGGTAAAAACATTAGATCAAAGCTTGCCAGGGCTTTTAACTACTGGCTAAACATATCCGAAGATAAATTAGAGCGAATCGAGGAAATAATTCAAATGTTGCATAACGCCAGCCTTTTGTAATTAGCCCTTTTATTTTACTGGCCGATAAAAAGTAAAAACTAGATCTTTTAGAATTGACGACATACAGGATAATTCGATTTTAAGACGAGGGATACCGGTGGCACACAGCATTTACGGAATAGCTAGCACCATTAATGCTGCCAATTATGTGATATTTATAGCGCTAGAAAAGGTGCTGGAATTGAATCATCCCGAGGTAAACAATTTCGAATCTTCATTGTTGTATGTGATCGTTTATAGGCGACCAAAGTGTATACTGAGCAATTATTAAACTTACACCGAGGACAAGGGATGGAATTGTACTGGCGAGATAACTTTGTTTGCCCTAGCGAAGAGGAATACGAACAGATGACCATTCGCAGTAAGTCACTGGTTGGGCACGCCGTCACTTGATATTCCCACTTTTAGAGACTGGTGGATTGTTCATGCTCGCTATCCGTTTAATGCAATTGTTCAGCGAAAATAAAGAGGATTTCACACGACTAACCGAAATTTTGGGTTTATCATTTCAAATTCTAGACGATTATCAAAATTTACATTCTAAAACCGTACGTAGCGGAACATTATCGCTTTTATCTTACAAGAATTGTAGTATTTTAGGCATAAAAGTTACTGCGAGGATTTGACTGAAGGTAAATTTAGTTTCCCAATTGTCCACGGCATCCAGAGCAATCCAAATGATGGACAAATAATACGTAGGTATCCTAAGTATTTGCTCCATATTGACTTATCAACTTTTCAGATATTCTTAGACAACGGACGAAAGACAACGAAGTAAAGAAATACTGCGTTTCATTGTTAGAAAAATTTGGAAGTTTCGAGTATACAAGACAAAAATTAGTCAAGCTACGTGAAGAAGCAGTTCTCGAAGTAGCGAAGCTCGGTGGTAACCCGGTGATGGATCAAGTGATTGAAAATTTCTTTAAAGTGATAAATGACGACAACGTTCCATAATTATTGTACTTCAAAATTATATAGCAAATAAACTTAAGTACTACTGAGAATCGCTCGATGAACTGCTACTTGAATCAGTCGACATAACCTCAACATCTTCCGTTTCTTGCTTATGATTACGTGTATCCACCTGCACGCTACCTTGACCCACACTCATGTGAATTTCACCAGACGGATGCCATGCAAACTGGTTCGGTTGCGAGGCAGGTATGTCTACATAAATACATTAACCATGACATATACAGCTTACACCCTTACCTCCCGGATGTCCAGACCTGTGCAACTCCGAAATATTATTCTGTTGCTGCAATAAATGACCGTTAATTGGATCACTCAGCCGCCCTAAAAACCCCAATCTCATTTCGATGTCTGTCGGATAAGGTCTACGTGGGTCTCCCTGCTGCCATGTCAATGGGGCACATACAGCATTAGATGCACTAATGCGATGTGCAAATTTTATGAGTTCCTCCGACGACACCGGTCGCTTATTCGCTCGATGAATCGATTGTAGCTTCTGATTTGCTTGGTAAATCGCCGTGGATAAAATTTGTTCCGCTTCCTTTAATTGTTTTTGTAATTGATTAATGTCCTGATCTTGTCGATCAACTTCTGCTTTTAATATATCCATCTTTTCGTCAATTTTCGCTTGTTCCGATGCCAATTTTAAGGTCTCTTTAAGTTCTGTATCTTTTGCTACCAAAAGCTGTGTGCGTTGGGCATAATCCGAACAGGATAGTTTCAAGTGTTTGGGGGCAATTGCATTTTCTATCATTTCTCTAAAAAAATATTTGTACGTCAGTGTAATGATAATTAAATTAATTACTTTGAGATTAACTCGATATCATCAATTAAACTCAACAGTTTTTCCTTGGTGCTTAATTGCGAAGCCATAAATTATCAAATTTTTATTTTTCCTTGTGAAAATAAAATATTGGAGGTTATGTTTGCAGTGTTGCCACGGTTTTTCTGGGTTTTTCCCACACCATTTGATTTACAATATACACGGTAGCTCGAAATATATTTTCCATATACAAAAAAATACGTTTATCATCATGGTTGCATATTTCACCTTCACTCTCTAACTGACAATGAATAAATGGCGACAAGTGCCAACGACAGTATGGGAAAAGTAATGCTATATGGTTATGATGAAAGCATAATAATGGACGCAAACTTGGATATGCTGGAAGGATTTTATTGGAAAAGACAGGGTGAAGAATGAGGAAGTACTAAAGAGTTGAAGAAATTAGATCAATCATGGAAATTACTAACAAAGAAAGCATAATTGAGTGGGTCACATTGAAGAAAAAAAACTATTTGCTACTACACATGATGGAACTGTGGGCACAAGGGGGAGGAACATGAAGGAAAAGAAAGGAAGATACTTAGCAATGGAGAAAGGCACAAGATCGAACAATCGATACTTGGAAGAATACTTAGTTACAGTAAATCCAATCCAAATGTATGTAAATGTTAAATGAGCATCCGAGATTTATTCAGCGACTCCTCTAAAGTAGACCCATACGTTTGCATTTCTAAATTTTGTTGAGCAGGTACTTGATTCCGGACATTATAACACTAGAGCATAAATATAACATCCTCAACCGGATCAGACGTAAAATCTGTACTTGAATTTATATTATATTGTTCTTAAAATCATAAAACAAATATGTCGGAATATAAATTATTCTAACCACTAAACCTAAAAATTAACTTTTAATTTGTGGGCCGTTAATAACAGGTCGTACAGGGCCCATAGCTCCAGGTGCAATTTGGGCCATTGGCATCATACCCATCATGGGAGGTCGCATTCCCATCATTGGTGGCATAGGACCGTGAGGTCCCATCATCATTGGCGGTACTGCAGCACCTACAAGGTAGTTTTATTCAAAAACAAAATTCGACTAACATACCTGGCGGAAGCATTCCCGGTGCGCCCGGACCTGGTGGACGTTGAGCCATCGTTAGCGCAGCTGGTGGTGGAATCGCCACACCTTTTCCTGCTGTAGCAAATGGATTGTTTGCGATCTTACCAGCTTTAAAAGCGGCTGTGGTGGCGTCAATTAAGTGCTGGGCTTGTTCTTCCATCCACTTTTGATAGAAAAACTTAACGTTGTCTTTGTGCTTACGACCTGTGCAGTGGGTTTTACGAACGCTTGGAGAGTCATGTGTAAGGTAAGTATCACAATAATCACAATAATATTTCGGCATTATTAATAATTATTATCTGAAAATGGTACTTTCCAATTATCAACAAAATGGCAAGGCAATTGATATTTGACAGTGCAACGTTGAAAATCTCTACAAGACCATTTAGCATACTTATCATTATTTATACATACAAAAGCATTACCCCAACAAACCTCTTTAGTTAAACATAAACAATACCCAGAAGTCAATGGCAACTCAAGACGAGGAACAGGTAAAAACGTTAAAGATTACGTGTTTTAAATCGTCCCATTTAGTTTGAAGAAGAGGAAGGAGCGGAAGCGACCCTAGCACTATGCAGTGTTGGCAGAAAAAGGTTGTTCAGTAAAGAACTCCGTTGCATGATGTACGGTTTCGGAGATGACCAAAATCCTTACACGGAAAGCGTCGATATTATTGAGGATTTAGTAATAGAATTCATAACAGAAATGACACACAAGTACGATACATACTTTGTCAAATTTCCTTTAAAAATTACACTTGATACTTTAGGGCAATGGAGATTGGTCGAACTGGTCGAGTGCAAGTTGAGGATATTGTGTTCTTAGTACGTAAAGATGCGCGCAAGTATGCGCGAGTTAAGGACTTGCTCACTATGAATGAAGAACTGAAGAAAGCGAGAAAAGCTTTTGATGAAGTTAAATATGCCGGTAAGAGCGAATAGAAGTGTCGCCTCGGTTAATGCTAATGAATTGTAGATAAAGATGCTGCAATTACTTAATAAATTAATCACAAGTTGTCTATTGTTGTCTTAGCAGAGTATATACAATCGTTAATTCCTACACCACTAAATGAGTTACCACATAAGCTTAACGATAACTTTTTTGATTGCAAGTAATCGTGAATTTTCCTAACTGTATCATTATGACCAACAACATATTGAGGAATACAGTCTTGTAAAATGCTCACTTGGTATAAGTCTGGTTGTTGTTTTATTCCAAGAATTGTGTTAAGCTGCTGCAGAGCCGTGTCTAATAGCAATTCACGAGTGGGATTTTTACCAAAATACTTTTCAAACCAGTATCCGCCCATCATTACAGTTAAATTGGTAGACCCTTTAGTATTTGTACAACAGCTGTCAAAAATTACACCTAAGATCGGTATATTTTCTTTTGGAGGAACAAGAAATCCAAACCCATTTTGTTCCAACAACTCATTTTTAAAGTGCAAATTGACAACGCAGACACTGACGCACGGAATGCTTACTAGCAAATCGTTTAAGTCCCTGTGACCTACAATTAGTTGACCTAGTGTTTTAGGAGAGATGCTCGATATTAGATAATCTGCACGAATTATTTCCCCGGTATTTGTATGCAGAGAAACTTCATTACCGATTTCAATCTTGGTACACAACTTGTTTAACATAAAATTAACGTTATTTTCCTCCCCAAACTTCCTCAACCGCCGCGGCAGAGTTTCGATACCATCTTTAAAGAAATACACACTCCACTTTTCCCTTGTGGCTCTTTGTGAAAGTGAATTTAGTAAAGGCTTCTCTTTACTTTTATTGAAGAAGTCGTACAGTAAACCTTTACTGATACTTCCGTATTTTTGTTCGTGAGTAAATAGATTCTCCATTAAAAATTTTACACTAATTTCTTTCGCATTTCCCGCACAAATGCCACAAATTAATGGACTGATGGCGTAATCGGCTATTTCCTTACCAAATCGACGGTAAACGAAATCATAAATCGATTCGTCATTACTACGTATAAACTTTCGAGGTTGTCCCACTTCGCGTACGAGATAATTAAGTAGAGATTTTGAAAAAGGCGGCTGTTTAGTCAAAATTCGCAATAAGCTCGAAGGTAAAGTATGCAACTGACCATTGACGTATATCATACGATTTAATGCAGCCGGATGATTTCTAGGTATAAATTTGATATCGTCTTCTAATCCAAGTTCTTCGATCAATTTCAATGTATTAATTCCTTTTACGCCTTGTGGCCTGATCGTTCTTGGACCTTGCTCGAAGATGAAATCGTCATATTTTGTCGATTTAATCCAACCACTTGTACGACTGGACCCCTCCAATAATGTTATTTCTTGCAAAGGGAATTTGCGGCGTAAATAATAAGCGGCAGATAAACCGCTTAAACCACCTCCCAATATTACTTTATTCATTGTTTATATTCTTAGCGATTTGAGGTTAGGACCAGTACCCTGAAGTTAGAATTTCCCGGAAAATATTCCAGTGGCGTATCATTGACGAATTAAATAATTTTCACTACTAATGTTTGGCAAACTATTCTCATATTTCCTTGATTTTTAGACGTCCGTGAGCACGATTTCTTAGGTCATGTTCATCAAATGGTACAATTTGATACAGAAATAAAAGGGGTATGTTAATAGTGGTCCAATTTTGGTTGTTAGTAAAAATCTGTAAGAAAATAACATGTAAAAATCAAAATAGAAAAAGTCCTATTCCGCTCACTGTAACATTTGTTGATTCTTGGTAAAACAGCAAGACACTTTCCTATACATTCTATCAAAAAAATGAAAGACAAAAAACTTGTCCTCTACAATCCCCTAAACTGATTCCTTGCCCTTCCGTGGTCACTGGCCCAATCTACTTGATTAAGCCCAGGTTATGATTTACAATATGATTCATGCCAACTGATTCCATAACGATCTTCACTATATGTCTACACAGCTTAATTTTGGTAGTCAATTAGTTGATTATCATTCCTTTGCTATGCAACATGTGCTCTTAAGCAAATTACCGCCACCAGCCCAATGTGAAGGTTAATTGCAATATATTATGATACACCTAGATTTAAACCAAAACAACTTACAGATGCTCTTACTGCTACATTGTATCCGAACGGTTTTCCATTCCTTTTTGACCAACTCGTAATATGTCCAACTATATACATTTTCTCGGGGCAATTGATTGTTTTAAAGTTTTGAATCTTTCATCTCCTGGGATAGGAGATAATGACCTATAAAGCTGTGGAAAAATTAGTAGTTTGTTAAGAGATAAATAAGCGTAATTTAATAAAGGAGCACTTTTAGCCTTTAGGTTAGGAGAGGTATTAAGACCCTTTATTTATGATTTACAGTGCATAAAGATATATTTAAGTCTTCATGTACAAGCAATATTACATATTCCGTATAATTATAACCCTACATATTCATGGGAGTCAGCGATACCCATAGTGTTTGTGCTATGCGCAACTCAAATGTGCTGCGTACAACACTGCACTTAGAAATAAAATTAAATATAAATAGAGAACAAATTAATTATATTCCACATGATGATTAAAACATTTGCCTCTATCGCCAATCCCTCAACACCACTGCGCTACTACAATATATATTTTGTGTTTAGTATTATATGTCTAACTCCAATTGGATCAGCTCGACTGTTTACCACTAACGAAGCTGATATCAATCATGTTTAAAATCTGCTACAGAAAAAGTAAAAGTGATAAACTATAAGCAGTTATCAAAACAAATGAGACATGCAAATATGTACTACAAGTAGGACAACCTCGACTGGTATCGATTACATTAACAATTCAATTATATTACGCGTCTCGCTGGTAAAGTTGGCGCTGTTCGTATAACATGCACACATTTGGGTACAAAAATTTGAACAAAACTACGATTCAATACTACTGCAAAATTTGTATCCCAAACATCACAAAGATAGAAAGCTAATTTCAGGATAAATGGACTTTAAAAACGCTTATAGTACGAAATTCTATTTGTTGTAAATTAATTTATTGGTTCCACTTGTTGGTCAAACCCGGCCAACCCTAAAAAAATATAGTTAACATAGCGCCTGAATAAAAAAAAAAGAGATTACGGCAAAGGATATCCAGGATAGAATAGTGAAGTGACCTTTAAAGAAGGAAGATTCATTGCATCCCCTTTCGCCCTTCTCTTACCTGTGTTATTAATTAGCATTTTAAAAGGCCTGATGGCCGTTTGCACCAACAAATTTAAGTGGAGCTTAGCTGAAGCATGGCAATGATTATTGAGATTGGTGCAAACGACCATGAAAGTTCTACATATACACACTGTCTTTACCATGACGGCTCCCTTTGATCACTTTCCGCTTGTTAGTTAGATGGCGCCACTCGCAATTTATTGGTGTTTGATGTAAATTGCAGGTCCGCAATTATTGACGTTTAGTGAACAATTTAATGGAGTGTTTGATTTTATAATTTGTATATTACTTAACTATACTCATTAAGAAGAAGACATAGGGATTTACGTGTATAATTTTTCCGTAAGTATGTCTACTTTTAAAAGACAAAATCCTTCTGAAGAGCGCCTAATTTTATGCATCCACAATAACTTCTTGAAACAAATAAACACCTTAATTTTAATATTGTTAGTAAAATATAGCTACAATCCTAGACCAGCCTCTGATCTGTAGCCATGTTAGTTCTGTAAGAAAAGAACTGTAGCAGATAGGTATTAAAATAACCGATGGACATATAGACGTGTTAGCTGGTAAGCTTTTACATGGAGATAAGCATAACCTAGATCGTGGTTTAGTAGTCATTTGAAAGTATTTCAGATATTTTGAGGTTAAAAGACTTGTTTTTATACAGGGTGTTTTAAGTGCGGACGCCATCTTGAATTTTTTTTAGTGGGAACATAGGTCATGTGATATATCATTAGAAAGCTGATTTTTTTCCCTGTCTTACTACCTTAATCATGAATAGTGTTAAATTAGAAAATAAGGGTGAAAAATTTGAAAAACTTTGCCGTATGTTTGGCTGGTGCACTTTAAATTAACAAAATAAACAAAGAATGAGCAGGTGTTTAATAAGTGACAAAGACACAGTACATATGGTTAGTTTCCTTATAACTAGTGTATTATGTGAGTCACAGTTTTTTCTCCATCATTTAACACCCTTAATGATTAAGGTAGAAAGAAGAGAAAAAAATTGAGGTTCTTGAGGCCATTTTCTGTAATTAGTCTCCAAGGGTGAAGACACATCCCAAATGAATCTGAATCACCGACAGCGGTAAGAGAATTATTTCAATAAAAAAGGTACTTTTCACCATCTTATACTGGGGCACCTTTCCCTTCGAATTCTTATGGAAATGTGCAAAAATGGAATTACATTTTCGCTAACTTTCCAATTACACCAACCTGTTTTCCTAAATACTTACGTGTGGTTTTTCTTGTAAATCAGTCATGTTTGGGCGCGATGTTTCCCATTGTGGCAGTTCCATCTTTAGCGGATCGTTGGGAACGAAATCGAGTGGGCGCATTGTTGTCATCTGTTGTTGAAGCAGGTAAGTGGGGAACTGCGCCCCGCTAGCGTAATTGTGAGGATTTTCTAATGGCATTCCATGCTACGTCGTCATTTCTTTGTTAATTGTGCCAAAATTACGTGAGACGCTTACCTGGAATGAGTCTAACGGATGTGAAATGTAATCCGCATCCATTTGGTTTCGTAATATAGGATATCGATCGATATTGTTTGATCCCGTCCATTGGCGGCCGACCATCATTTTCGAATCGTTTGACATCATCCAGTTGTTATCCATGTTAGGATTTTGGGTCTTGCGAGCCCGTTCGGTGCCAATAGGTTGCGGTTGTTTACGGTCTTCCATGTAATGCCCATCGTTGGGATGTAGATTATGAGCCGGTGGTAAGTTTGGGGACATAGCAGGCGAGTTGCTCACTGTGTTTAGTTCTCCGCCGTTTTCGAGGATTTCACCACCTGCCGCTCTGGCAATGTTATGTAAGGTCATGCCCGCCATTCCGCTAATCAATTCGGTTTGCTGTGGAGTGAAGGGCTGCTGCATTTGGAGTAAATGCCAGCGATTTTGCTGAGGATTGTTCATCGCCGATCTGTGGTAGTTGTTCATACTAGATTTATTCATGGTATGCAGCGAGTTGTTTTGATTATTTCCCATCGCATACCCGTTATACATCTGCGGCGGTTTGTTGGATATCGTATGTACAGAGAAGTCCGGCGCTTTCGGGTTTAATCTCGACATACTGACCGGCGTCGCACTGATTTGCACGGATTGTTGCTGCTGCTGCTGCTGAGATTGAGAATAATTGAGATGTTGCATGGAATTCGACTGATGGTAAGATGACAACAAGTGCGGTTGCGAATCCGCAACTGGAATATTCAACATATTTATAGGAGTCTGTTCTGGGTACCCGGTAGATCCAGTCTTATATAAGTTGGTGTCCGAATGGGCCAGATGCTGCATGGAACGTGAAGGTAAATCGGAACTTGGGTAGTAATGACTGTTCGCGATATCGTGTTGGTTTGTTTGAGCAACTGATCGATTATGCATGATATTTGTACCAATTGGGGGAAGGGGTTGCGTTTTTGGTTGTTCAGGATAAGTAGGATAATTAGATGCCGAACTTAAAGGTAAACTTGGAGGTGTCGTGCTGTTGCTGCTAGTTTTGGATGAAACAGGCGAACCCATCGCGGCTCCTCTGTAACCTGGCGCTTTCGAGGCGTCAACTTGCGGAGGCGGATCATTATCCACAAATTTACTCGGAGGAACTTGAGACGTATTGCCGCCGGTAACTGCGGCAAAATTAATCGGTTTGTGAGATTCAGTTTCTTGTCTCCAGGTCGGTTGTTGCGCCATGGAGTTAAAAAGTGAATACTCTTGGGTGGTCGTCACATTTGAAATGGATGTCGGTTGTATCGTTTCCACATGTGACGAAGTTACTGGGATTAACGTTGCCTGTTGTAGTATGGGACTGTGTGTTCTCATCTCCACTCCACTACAAATATTCGATACTTGAGTGGTAGGAGTGGCGAAAGAGGGAAACTTTCCGGTAGTTTGGAAATGTTGCATAGTAGGCGGTGCGGATGCCGTAGGTGTGGGACGATGATGCTTTGGTGATCCTTGACCGTGAATAATTGTGCTCGATGTTTGCACCGTTGGCGCTCCAACAATTCCCTGTGGCACATTTAAACACTGCGAAGGTCTCGACTTTTGTAAGGATTGAGTTGTGGGAAGTTGACTAGTCGAAGTACTTTCTGTTAGTTTAGCGGCGAAAGTTTGAGTGGCAGTTGTTGTAACTATTTTAGTTGTCGCCCGAGATGTCGTCATTATTGCAGTAGTGTAGGACATTGTATTTTTCGTGGTGGATGCCAACTGTGCTGCTGCGTTCCGTTCAGCTTGTGCTACAAGACGGGGAGCGGTTACACGTGGCGCCGTTGCTATTGTTGTTCCTCTAGGTTTAATTATTGTGAGAGATCTTTGGGGCATTACTGACGAAGAGGAGATAACTGTAATGCTTTTTTGTTGCGTCGACGCTATAGTAGTAACGGCTGATGATGTATTGACAACTTTACCCGCTACCTTTTTTGTCTGGAAGAAAAGGAGAGAGGTGACACTATTCAAATAATTTTTACAATACACATACCCCTATCTGGGTTTTATCCCACAGGGAGGTAGTAGTCGTAGTAGTTAACTTGTTTGTTTTTGGTAACATTTGCAGAATATCTACATCTGGGTCCTTGATCAAAGCGGCAATTAGCAAATGAGCTTGTTTAGTTGCATCCAAAGATCCCCTGAAACAAAAATGAAAAAATTAAACTTAATTTGGTAGAAAGGAAGCACCGATTGCTTGTCATTTGTGCACAAAGTTTAGTCATATTGCACGAAGATGTCAATTAAATGAAAAATGCAACAAATACCAAGGAAAACACTGTCCTCTTATGTGTTCAAAAAAAGAATCAAAGGCGGCCGTAAAATAAAGAAGCTTTCCAAAATGGTGACTCATCAAAAGAAGAGGCGAATTTGACCACCCAGACTTTTGCAGAAGTAGCAATGAAAACCACCCAAAACGTGAAAAGATGGTTGGAAATGGACGGTTCCTGTTACATCTTCTATGGGCCATTTTTTTTGTGGGAATCTGAATCTATTTTAAGAATTTGTATAGCAAGCTACAGTCTACTACTTTCTTATTTCTAATGGACGCCCATATGTGAGCCACGAATTTGAAACAGTCCGACAGTAAAATACAGCTACAATTTTGAGCTCCTAGACCAACCTCTGGTCTGTAGCCATATTAGTTCTATAAAAAGAGGACCTTGGTTAGAAGAACTGCAGCAGATATAAGTATTAAAATAACCGATACAACAGATGGACATATAGAAATATTAGATGGAGCTGATATAGCTGGTAAGATTTTTTGTAGACATAAGCATATCCTAGATTGTGGTTTAGTAGTCATTCCACGCTTTTAGGATGGAAAAACCTCATATCCGACTATCCATGCTTATAAAGGCTTTTCAAAGGATGTTGCCATATCTAATCTATGGAGTTTGTACTGGGAAAAAAGACAAACCTCCTTTGTTATTTAATCTTTTGTCAAAAAGACTGAAGGATAATTTTTATGATGTCTACAATGAGGTCTTTACTAAATGGTTGGAGGATGGAGTGATAGAATACTTACCTAAAAACGAAACACTAGAAATGTCTAGTAAACATGATCATTTTTACCTTACCACAGTATACAGGGTCTTGCAATAGTGCCTCAGTTTTTCTTAGCTTATACCTGGTAAAAAATATCAAAAAACCTTTGTGCAACACACCCTGTATATTTTTTTGTTTCGATGTCATTTTTTAATTTCTGCATGCCGAAGTTTCCATTTATACATTTTTTTCCGTAAGCAAGTCCCACTTTGATAAATTGCAACGACCTTGATTTTAAAATTAAGAAATAAATATCAATAATGTGAATCAGAATAAAAGGAAACACTTTGGCAATGGAAAAGTTGGATTTAGTGATACAGGGTGTTCCCAAAAATTAGTAAAGTTTCCAAATTTCAAAGTGTGATAACTATTTTTTTTTCAACTAGTTTATTTCTCTATTCGATAGTGTTTTGTGTGCTTTTCCATTTTTAAAAGGAGTGTCCTGTTCCTAAACCTCATAGTTTTTAAGTTATTCACTATTTTTTACCAAAATAGTTACACATTAATCAATTACATGTTTATAAACCAGTGTAGACTGTGATTATAACAAACAAAAGAATGCCAGAAATTAAGCAAGTGCCACAAATCAATTATCTGCTGCAAGTGTACTCCCTATTTCGTAGTAAAATAAGATGACCCAATTAAAAAAGCGAATTTAGAAAAATAGTCCAGGCTAAATAGCTCTAAAATGATTTATTTTCAAAAAAAATTAGTTACCGGGCGAAACCGGGTTATTCAGGCAGGTGAAATGAATATTGGGAAAAAATAATTAGAACAGCTGAATTTTTCCGCGGGTGAAATTAAGGAGTTGAAATGGGTGGAAAGTGGTATTTTGCAAATTGTGGCAAAACTATTGATTTTAGACGGAAATGTTAAATGTAAAAGTTATAGAGATTAAAAAAATGAGCAACTTTTGTATCTGCACTATTTTCACATAACCTCAAATTTTCCTAGAAAAACCGGAAAAACTGTTTTTTTCGTTTTTTATTCTTATTTTTGCGAAAAAATGTCGTAGGTGTTTGAAATTTGGAGGTAACATAACCTGTTTTATGATAAAACAGAAGATAATGATAAGATAATGGGCCTATAAAGTTGAACCGTTTCCAAGATCTCACGATTTCTGTAAAAAATCACCTCTTTCAAGGGGATGAAAAATCTATTTTTTTTCATCGTACAGAGTTGCGCGGGGTAGCATAATTTTCGGGAAGACTTATATTTTAATAAACAAAAATAAAAAAATATTATTCCTATAGCAAAAATTCGCGGAAATCGCCAAAAACCGGAAAAACAGTTCAAGATATTTTCTCATAAAACTCATAATTATAGAGATAAAGTATGAAATTTGGTTAAAACATCTACATAGAAATTTCAGAATTCTTTAAATATAACCAACTCTCAAGCTCTATATCTTTTTTAATAAACATTTCACAAAAAAGTAGTGTATATCAAAATTGTGTAGAATTTTATGGTCTACAATTTCTGATTACAATATTTTTTTCTAAAGTGAACCATTAAAAAGATATGATTGAAAAACTAAGAAACCATCCAAATTTCAGGGGTTTTGGGAGTGGTACGGGGGAAGCACAAGGGGTGGGAGGTCGAAAACTTAGATTCTTAACCACCAGATGGCTGTCTATGATATGCAAAAGAAATTGGAACCACTTCTCATTTTGCAAGTTAAAACCCTCTATTCCCTAGACTAAATGTCTAATAAACATGGTCATTTTTACCTCACCACAGTATACAGGGTCTTGCAATAGTGCCTTAGTTTTTCTTAGCTCATACTTGGTAAAAAATATCAAAAAACCTTTTCTGCAAATGTCAAGTATAGATAGTTGTCCATCTACAGAAATTATTTTGAATGTACAGGGTGTCCCAATTTTACGGTGTCAATAGACAACTAATTTTTTTAAATCGAACACCCTGTATATTTTTTGTTGTTTCGATGTAATTTTTTAATCTCTGCATGTTGATGTTACCAAATTATTAATTTTTTTCCATTTTGATACATGGTAACGACCTTGATTTTAAAATTAAGAAATATATTTAATCAATAATGTGAGGCAGAATAAAAGGAAACACTTTGGTAATGAGAAAGTTGGATTTAGTGATACAGGGTGTTCACAAAAAATAGTAAAGTTTCCAAATTTCAAAATGTCAACTATTTTTTTTCAAATGGAACTACCACTAGTTTATTTCTCTATTCGATAGCCTTTTGTGTGCCTTTCAATTTTTATGAGAGGTGTCCTGTGCCTAAACCATGTAATTTTTAGGTTAGTCAATATTTTTCAACAAAATAGTTACACATTAATCAATTACATGTTTATAAACCACTGTAGACCGTGATAAAAAAAAAGAATGTCAGAAAGTAAGCAAGTGCCACAAATTAATTATCTGCTGCAAGTGTATTCCCTACTTCGTAGTAAAATAAGATTACCCAATTAAGAAAGTGAATTTTGAAAAAAATGAACTAGTATTTTTAAACAATCTTATTTTACTACGAAATAACCTACACAATATTTATTGAAAAGCATCAAGAAGACAAAATAAAAACTATACTTACTTCAGAGTAATAATCCTTTCACCTTGACCCTTACTCTGTTTCTCGACTTCAATGTGAGCACCGGTCGCTCCTCTAATTGCGTTAATATTACTGCCGCCACGACCAATTACTCTAGATATAGCATTTAGAGGTACGGAAACCTTTTTCACGCCGGATTCTGTAGTGGTGACGGTTTGTACGGACGATTTCCGAACAACTTCCTTCCAACCTTCGTCTCTTTTACTCGATTGCTTCGGACTGGTTTTTGAAGCTATCAATTGCACTTCGGCGTCATGCTGCCCCTTTTTGCTTCGTGAGCCGGTGTAAGCTTCGTTTCCCGTCGCCTCAAAATCGTCTCGCTCGGCGGGATGTCGAGTCGCTTCGAAAATTAAACCTTTCTTAATGTTTTGAGTGCCTCGCGCAATTTTTGCTTGGGCATCGCTGCTCTTGTCGTTTCGCCTCTCTGTCAATTCTTTTGAAGAATGCGCTTTAGTTTGACTTAAGCTGGAGGGCGTAGTACTGCACCTCGGATCGTGAAAGTCTTCCTTTTTTAAACTCGAAGATGTTTGGGTGCACTTTTTCTTTTTCTTCTCCTTGCGTTTTTCTTTAGTTTTTACATCATTGCTTGAGCAACTTCCCTGACTATTTGCATCAATTCCACTATCACCCTCTTCTTTATCGACAGTTTCAACATTGTGTATTGGGGATTCCGATTCTGTTATATCTTGGATATTATCTACAAAATTGTGTAAATTTAGTAAGCATGAATGGCTATTGGAAAAATAGTTGATTTAGCGCTTGTACTTGTTGACTGATACATAGAAAGAGGGCCAAAGTGAGCTCCTTCATTCATATCAATAGTTTTTATACAGAGTGTCCCAGATAAACTTGGCTCTCCCTAATAACTAGGAATATCCTGTATAAATGAAAAGGAATGCACATTTCGACCTTGCTTTCATATAAATGAAATATAATTAATGAATATTTGATGTAGAAAAACAAACCTTCATCCTCAAATTTATCATCATCTTCATTTTTATCGTCATCTTCGATGTATTTTTCGTTTTTCTTATTTTCTTCGGTTAGGCGACGTTTTTCTTCCCGTTTTTCCAGTTTCTTCTTTTTCTTTCTCTCTCGCCTTCGCGCGGCGGCTGCCTTTTTCGATTCCTCCCTACTTCGTTCCATGTCCAATTCTTCTAGTAAAATACTCGCATTCTTGTTCGCTTTTGCGGCTTGAGTCTCTTTGGCGGCTCGTATGATTTTCACACACTCTTGGCATTTCTCTAACAATTCCTTATCGCTAACGGTGGAGATATATCTAATCATTTCTTGATCACTCGGAAACTGAGTAACGTTATTTACCATCCACTTCACCACCTTAACGTGACCCTTACGAAAAGCCGCCATCAGACATGACACTTTTCGATTGTCTTGGGAATCGATATCGGCGGATAAATTATATAAGAGTTCGACAACGCTAAGATGGCCACCGTTAGCGGCCAACCAAAGTGGAGAGTTACCCTTTTTGTTTTTTACTTCGACGGCAGCGCCTCTACACAGCAAAAGCTCGACAAACCGACAGTGACCTTTGTCTGCGGCGATTGTGAGGGCCGTATCTCGGGAAGATGGCACAGGTGTTGCATTCACATCTGCACCTTTATCCAATAGGACTCGACCTACATCCACGTAACCTCCACTGGCGGCTTCCATTAGAGGTGTCAGACCAGTCTGTAACAACAGTTAAAATAATGTGGGGCAAAATAAAACGGGATAAAATGGGGATTTTGCTTGTAATTTTTCTTTTTGACTACTAATCTCGCTCTTTATGCTTTAAACTTAGCATTGCGCAGCCTGATGTTTACAATATGCGATATGCTTGTCTTTACTTTGTTTAAATTTTAAAAAAACTCTACAAATAAGAAAGCTTGTCTGGCGCATATGAATTGTTACCTCGGATGTTTAATAGCTACAAATGTTACTAACCAATGGATGGCGTGGAAAATTTACTCGTCATAATAATTGTACCTATGTAGAGGCATTGTTTATATTATTTGTTACTCAATAATAAACTTTGATTGAAAATACAAAACGCAAACGGGTAAAGGCTACGGACAGCTGTCCTGAAAAATTTTACAGTTTAGTAATTTCATTGAGTATAATAAATGTGAAGTCTGTTACATGGATAGCATGATATTTTAGACATTTCTTCAATATCAATTTGAGAACTACTTAGATATGTTCATTATTATTTATAATTGAGTAACAAATGAAATATTGTAAATTATACACCAGGTAGGTTTTTAGTGGCTCTATAGGAGACGACAGTGAACTTCTATCACCAGTAAAAACTCACTTACCTGGCTAATAAAGAAAATTTATTAAAAATTACAGAAGAGTACAGAATAAAACATTAAATACTCATATCCTCCAAACAGACATTAAGGTTACGTGTTGAGAAATTGTGCGTTTTGGTCAAAAATAAATATACACGGTGTCCATTTTTCGAGTTCCACTATGGGGATCTCACTTATCTTAAGAGATAGAAAGTTGGTTAAATGGGGGCAAAGTTGCCAATTTTCGTGCTGAATAAGAATCTAAAAAGACATTTCAAATATCTTCAATAGTTTTGAAGATACCTCAAAAACAAAAATTTCTGATTTTCGTTTTTATTTTTTTTTATTATAAACTAATCGTAGTAGACATTTCTAATTAACACATTATTCGGACACTTTTTAATGGAGATTTCAAATATGGCATCCGGTTTTTAATAACTCTCCAGATGACGGAGAAACACGTGGCAACTTTAGTTTTTCTTATGGGCGCCATTTTGAATTTTCGCATTTTGAGATTACGTCTTTTTTTCTCTTTACAACGATATATCACACATGGTGGTTCAGTATCACATTTTTCCTAAAAATACAATTTTTAATTTTTTGAGAAGAGTGCTTTGGAAAAACAAAACGTTTTTTTGTTGTGAACAAAAGGTTGACTTATTTCATGTGTCATTTAGGTTTATGCTAGTTGTAATGCGAAAATGCCTTTTTCCAAGTGCAGATCAAAGAGATATGATCCAAATTTACTACAGTTCTCATTTAAATGCCCAACAATCTTTTTCTTTGCTGCATAAAAACTTGGGCGAATATGGTTCTTTTAAAAGATGTAGACAGCAATATGGTGATAGGCCCAATTAATATGAGCAGGCAATTTTGCAAGCGGTTGAGATGAAAATCGAATTTCTACTGACAACGCTGCAACCAGACAGATGGATCAAACTGTCAAACTTTTGTTGACAACAAAAGAACGTTTTGTTTTTCCAAAGCACTCTTCTCAAAAAATGAAAAATTGTATTTTTAGGAAAAATGTGATACTGAACCACTATATTGTGTGATATATCGTTGTAAAGAGAAAAAAAGGCGTAATCCCAAAATGTCAAAATTCAATATGGCGCCCATATCAAAAACTAAAGTTGTCACGTGTTTCTCCGTAATCTTGAACGTAATTAAAAACAGGATGCCATATTTGAAATCTCGATTAAAAAGTGTCCGAATAATGTGCTAATTAGAAATGTCTACTGCGACTAGGTGTAACAGTTTAGTTTATTTATATTCAAATTTCAAAATTAACGCTTGCTACGTTAGGCAGGATATAGGTGAGATGGCGTCACTTGTACGCGTGCTTCTTTCCTCGCGCAGAATCGCGTAATTTTTTCACTTCATTTCCGTTTTAAAGCCAACGAGGTTGTACTTGTAGAGCGTGGCATTGTGAATTCTTCTAAAACCAGTGGGTAATATTTGCCATCATTCACGTAAAATCTCTGGCAATTTTACCTGTTTATTGGCGTTGTCGAGTAGAGTAACTCAGAAGCCGTTTTCTCCGTTGTGAGGCTATATCTGGTGGAAGTTCATCGCCCTACCTACATGTAAGTGAAATGGCGTTGGTTTTCTTTTACGTTATGTTATCTAAAATTCTTTCAGATTCACAACCTCTTGGATAATTTCCATATTTCATTGATTTAAGTATTTTTCATTACCCTCCTGACGATTTCAGGTATGTTATTAAAAATCTCGTTAAGGGAGTTGTACATCTTCATTACTTTTAGGGGGTCCATGTAGTAGATGAATTCTTGTACCGGTCAATCCATGTAGTAGATGAATTCTTGTACCGGTCAATCCATGTAGTAGATGAATTCTTGTATGTAAATGAATTTGCATCTTGCGAATATTCCGGAGTACGAACACCTGTTGATTGCCGGCAGCTATCCGGCGTACCACCGAGTAGATAAGCGCTAACACCTAAACGATACCGGGAGCGACCAGCTGATTGTGGAATTTTCGGAAGATACGATCTTTTACACAACCTTTTTTTTTATTTGCTTCAATACCGTTAATCTAGTGTAACCTTCCGACGATTTATGATCGGAGCTTTGTATTTTGTTCGCATCAAGTGTTTGAGGTCGTGACTCTCTTCAAGAGCAACGCACCTGTATTTAACGTATGGGTAAACGAGCCGGCTACGAGTAAGCTATTTTTGGCCCTTCCGGCTCATATAATCGTTCCGAGCGTTGTAGCTTGGGGTTTGTTTTTGTGTTACAGAACTGGAACTTCGAAGGAGAGCTCTTTTTCGGAGAAGACAGCGTATGTGTTATTCAAGGTAAGATTTTTAATTTACTTGTACCCAGTGTTGCCTATATGAGTTGTTATTCGGGTTAACTTAATTCAATCTTTGCATCCGTTGAAATCTTAACTACATTTTTGCTCGATCATTGTTGTAGGGGGCTGGTAACGTAATTATTAGGGAAGTGTTCAGGAATTTATTTGGGGATTATTTTTGTCATTTAAAGTATTTGTTATTGTCGTATTGAAGATACATTTTATTTGCCGATCCTGCACCGTTTTGTCAGGATTAATAAATCAGAATTGCTCGTAGTGAATTTATTATTTGGCTCTCTTGTGTTTTCCCAATTTCTATACAGGAGAGGTCAGAATTTGTGCAAAATTGGGTGGCGCTCAACTAATCATTTCTAGTGACTACCAAAGATCAAAAACTTATGTTATATGCCCAAACGAACAAACCGCTGTGGAAGATTCTCATCTCGAGCCCTTCTTTTAATTAAGAATCTGAGCTAGCTGGCCGTTTATGCGGCGGGGTTTGAGTTTTACAGCGCCGAACTAACCTCACGTTATATAGTTTATCATAAAAAAATTAAAAACGAAAATCAAAAGTATTGAAGATATTTCAAATTTCTTTTCAGATTCTTATTCAGCATGGAAATTTGCAACTTTGCCCCCATTTAACCAACTTTCTGAGATCCCCATAGTGGCACTCGAAAAATGGACACAGTGTATACCCCTTTTTCCCTTGTGATTTCGTGATTTTTTTTAACCCCTTCCCCCCTTCTTCGAGCGTCACGTGATTAATGCACACAGAAATTTAGCTATTAATCCTCACGTCCCATTTTGTGTCTTGAAAAATTGGTTCATCACTATACTCATTTTACCCCGATTTCTTAAGTTTAAAGAAATGATGCTTACCTTTGCTCGATGTTCAACATTTGCTTTTCGATCGAGAAGTAAACTGACAACTTCGTGGCGACCTTGAAAGCAGGCTAACGTTAAAGCTGTATTACGATTAGTTTCAATTTGGGCGTTAATGTCACTTCCTTTATCTAGTAGCAATTTCACAGCGGCAGTGTGTCCATTCATTGCGGCTAACATAAGAGGCGAAATTCCGAGCTTGCTACCAGTTCGGGAATTTATTTCCGCACTGTGACTTAATAGGAGCTTGATTATATTCACGTAACCGCCAGACGCCGCCAGACTAAGGGGCGTATAATCGGATACGTTACGGTGTTCTCTGTTAGCGCCCCGATTGAGAAGTAGCTCGACCACTTCGTATCGGCCACCGGAGCAAGCCAAACTCAGAGGGGTGTCTTTTGTTCGTTCAGATTGAGCTTCCATATCGGCACCATTATTCAGTAGTGTTTCGACCACCTTCTCGTGACCGGCCGTTGCGGCCAGGATCAGGGGGGTGAATCCTTTTTTATCTCTGTGCTCGATGTCGGCGCCACGTTTTATTAGTAACTCGACTAGCTCCTCGTGACCGCCGGCACAGGCCAAAGTCAAGGCGGTGTCGTGATTACTTTCAGTTTCAGAATCGAGGTCCATACAATAATTGACTGGCGGAACGGTACCGGTTACACACTGCTGATTGTTTGTGTTGTACTGCGTAATGGCGGAGTTGGTATCGATTTGATAGTTCTGGTTTTGCGACTGTTGAAAAGCAGCGCCCTGTTGTGGTGGCTGCTGGTTTCGCAGGAGCAACCGACCCTTTTTAATTTTCATACCGTCTTGAACCGCCACACTTTTGCCTTGCTTTTTGGTTTCTGCAGCGACAGGCGTCACCTGCGGTGTTTGCGTAGCTGCTTGCACTTGATGTGTGGTTTGCTGTTGTTGGTGGGTGGTTAGTAAATGCTGATGCTGGCTGCACGGTATCTGACAATGATGCGATGATTGCACCATGGTATTGGTAGGTATATGGGAACATGCCGACTGTACCGGAACGCACGTCGGTTGAACCGAGGAGACATACTGTTGTGTCGTGGTGCCAGCTATTGTCGCGATCGTGTTTGGGACTGCAGCATTTGTTAATGTCTCACCCGAAGTAGCTGTTATTAATTGACGCTTCAGTACAGGCGCCATCGAATCGTAATAAATTAACTCACCCAGTTGTTGTACAATATTCATTCCCGCTTGAAAGCCGGCCTGATATATTGCACCGGTTTGATCTTTATTGGACATGGTAGCAACCGCTTGCAGGTAGTGATCGTAAGGGTACAGCGAGTGTTGCACCTGTTAAAACAAACTCACTGATAATCGGAGTTGTAAATATATTTTTTTTAAGAAAGTAAGAAGCCTCCAGAAATAGAGGTGGAAAATGGCACTAAGAAATGTGGAGAGCATAGAAACAGTATCTTAATTGTACATGCTGTAAAGATACTGTTAAGGGTATTAAACTAGAGAATGGTCAAAAAAAAGAGAGGAAACAGACATGATGGAAGAAACTGTGGAGAGAGAGGAAAAGAACTGCGAAAGAAAGGAGAGAATAGTACGTAGTAATGAAAAGGAAGGCTCAAGATCAAAGGAGTGGAGGAAGAGCACTAGGACCTGCGATGCAAGGAACTGAAATGTCTTAAAAACACTTAAGTTAGATACTTGAAAGTATATTTAGTTACTGTAAATGACTTTTGCACACGTAACGAATTTCCTACAGTAAATAAATACCATAAACTATCTAATTACGTGTTTAGAATAGCTACCTCACAGCAGTGTGTAATTTACCTGCACTGGTAATTGACCCCCATTCGCGACAGGTACGAAATATTCGAGTCGAGATCCATCTGCTTGAGCAGCCAGCTCGTGATGAGCCTGAAAGGAGGCGATCATAGATTCCTCCAACGTCGACGGATAAGGTTGCACTTGTAAATTATGTTGAGCAGTTGCTTGATTCTGGACATTGTCGACGTTGTAAGACTCGAGAGTTTGAACTACATCCTCGACCAGATCGGACGTAAAATCTTCCTTGTCTAATAACTCTTTACTTTTTTGTTCTAAATAAGCGTCAGTTGTAGATTCTGCTTCTCGGTGAAACAATTCCATACAAGTTTTACGTTGCTAAAAGTATTCATCTCAATTCAACCCTGATATTAGTGGGGGTGTTTCACTCTGTACAAAATGCACAGTGCAATTGTTCATAATTTCAAACAAAAACAGATACTTATTTCTTGGAAAATCAAATGTAATTGTTTGAAGAAGGATGCTCACACTAATTAATACTAATGACATTAGAGATGATCAAAAGAGGAACAACACCAAAATCAGAGGCAAGACATATCGGACGATCAAAAATAAGTGACTATCGAGTTGCTTATGGAAGGTGTATGCAAGGTAAGCATACAAGTTAGTGAAAAAAATCTCTCTATTCCTCTCCAATTCTAGAAAAAAAAAATCAACCAAATCGACAAATTTCCCTTATGGATTTAATTTTTTTTTAGAAGTATAGAAAGATGTAGTAAGCAAAGAATCCAAAAATCAATCAAAAACAGATCATATAAAACTGATTTTTGGTAGAGACCATGCCTGAGGGCTAAATTGCAAGATACTAAAAGTCCTGGAGAATCCTCCTTCCACAACCTCCTTTTTTCACCCCAAAAAACTGAAAATGTCAACTCTACAAAAAAAGAAATTCATTTGATTGCATCGTCATCATAGCCATGTTAATTCAGCAAGATCTAGTTACCTGTGGATGTTGGGAAATTAAAGTAAAACATTTGATTTTGAAATTTTTCTTGGAAATTTATGCAAAGTATAGAATGTGACAAGTCATTATTTTTCTTTCTTTGTCCACACTAAGGATAGTATGTGATTTTTTTAAATAAGTCATGAATAGGATCAACTTGACACATTTTTTGTTTTTCTTGGAAACGAAAAACCTTGGAATCGTAATCTTTGAGCAGGAAATAGTACTAGCATAGCACTAACTAACGATTGTATGTGTATTTTTTCAAAAACGAGTCATGGGTGGGGCCAACTTCACAAAATATTTTAGATTTTTTTTCTTGGAAAGATGAAATGCCTCACAATCTTAGAGCATAGCAATTAACTGTCAATACATTTATGTCAAATTATTTCATGTGAGAGGGGCCAACTTCACATAGATAGGTAATCAAAAATAACAGCAGTTTCAATATTTTTGGTTCTGAGAGGAGAGGTCATTCTATACATCAATGGATTTGCCATTTTATCACCTTGGTAACAATATTTTCCGCCAAGCTTATAGTTTTTGGTTAAAATCTGTAAATTTCAATTAATCTCTGGGTAGACTTTCTGTTCATATGCTCCTGGTGTGTACCATATGGTTTCTAATTTTTGTTTTTAATTTTTTCATGGTAAAGTAATCGTAGGTACTAGACATTTCTAATTTAACACATTATTCAGACACTTTTTAATGGAGACTTTTAAGATGATGGAGAAACATGTACCAACTTTAGTGTTTATTATGTTCGCAGTTTTAAATATCGACATTTTGGGATTACGTCTTTTTTTCTCTTTACAATGATATATCACACATGGTGGTTCAGTATCATACTTTTCCTAAAAATACAATTTTTAGTTTTTTGGAAAGAGTGCTTTGGAAAAACAAAACGTTCGTTTATTGTGAACAAAAGTTTGACAGTTTGATCCATCTGTCTGGTTGCAGCGTAGGCAGGGAAGTAGTGTTGAGAAAATTCGATTTTCATCTGAACAGAATTGAACCCTCGCTTTGCAAGAACATTAAAATTCAAATTAGAACAAAATACATAAGAATAAATAATATTTTCGCAATCAAACTAACACAAACGTAAATGACACTACTTGAAATAAGTCAACCTTTTGTTCACAACAAAAGAACGTTTTGATTTTGCAAAACACTCTGCAGAAAATGAAAATTGTATTTTTAGGAAAAATGTGATACTGAACCACCATGTGTGATATATCGTTGTAAAGAGAAAAAAAGACATAATCTCAAAATTTCAAAATCCATAATGGCGCCCATAAGAAAAATTAATGTTGCCACGTGTTTCTCAGTCAGTCATCTTAAAAGTCATTAAAAACGGGATGCCATATTCGAAATCTCCATTAAAATGTCTGAATGTGTTAATAAAGGCAGTACGTCATTGGAAGAGGTATTTTATCCGCTTCAGAAATGCTCACTTGACATTTTTCCATAAGTTGATAGTTTTCTAGAAAATCACCAAAATATTAGGGAGGGGGCGAAAAAAGGGGGTTGCGGAAGGAGGACTCTCCAGGAGTATATAACTATTTAGCCCTCAGTTATGATCTGTACCAAAAATTAGCTTTATATAATTTTTGACTAGGTTTACCCAAAATTTGAACTATCTTGACTCTGGCAATCATTTAGTTTGGAAACACATCCTGAGGGACACTGAGCAGAACTTTCCTTATTTGGTTCTTTTCTGGAAAAGACATTTTAGATGGCAGAAATTATCTCTCACGTTTTTATATAGAGACCCAGTTGGACAACGTACAAAATATGAAATAATAAAGAACAAAAATATGCCCAAAAAGACTTACGCCTACATGAACGCCATTGCTTGTGAGTGGTGCACAAGATTTTTGCATTATCCTTTTTGAATGGGATAATAAATTGCTGTTTGAGAATATTTTGACTAAATTAGTCACCATGGCTGTTCGAATTCAATTAAACCCATTTTCTGACCTGCTAGTATTGGATACAAAAGATACGACTTCAGAAATTATGGAAGTAGTTAAATTAATTATTTAGCAAAACGGCACACACGCACAAAACATAAATGTAAATAAGCATCAACAGATCAGAATTGATGCCATATGCATAAGTGAGCATTGAATCAGGTGGTTAATCTATGTAACTATTCAATCACCCCAATGGTAGAAAAATCGCTAATTGGCATGATGGTATCTTATTCTTTCTTTGGATTTACACCGATAGGTATATACTTACTTTTGTTTTCTTGTATGAGATCAATAAATGTAAATAAATAAATAAATAAAAATATACTTTTGCAAGAGTGAAACACCCCTCAGATTTTCGTTATTAACTTACAGCTGATGCCACAAAAGCCGCTCGTATCGTATTGATTTGGGGAGAGTTGTGGAATTGTTGAAGTATGGAAGCGGTTAATAGACTGTTCTGTTGAGCTTCCTCCTTTAGCGCTAAAGATTCTTGTTCTATCGCGTCTAAGTCGAGACCCTGAACGTTCAGGGACTCGCTAACGTTAAGTGGTTTTTCGGTTAACTGCTGCTGCGACTGTTGCTGCTGCTGTAGAGGAACTTTGGACATAAATACTTGAGGCTGCTGTTGACCATACAGTGCCGGTTGATATTGTTGCTTACGCAAGTTCTTTCCTTCCTTTTTGGCCGGTTTGGCTTTCGGTCGATCACTTATGGCAGTATTCTGAATAGACGCGTGTTTATTTGACGAAGCAAGGTTGCGACTACCTACCTGGCTAACCTCGGCGTGAGAGCTAACTGTCTGGAATTTTAAGGGTTGAGAAACAACACTCGGACTGCCGGTGGACAAAGGAACGGAGACAGATCCTGGCAAAGGTGAGAAAAAGTAGGCGGGCGTTTGGTTTGTTGTAAAATTGGAAGCAGAAGCGTCGGCTCCAACGGACAACTTGAGAGGCATTGCCGGAGATTGCAGGCATGTTGCACCTGTATAGAAGGCATTGTGCACTTGCAAATTGCCATTGGGATATACCGCACCTGACATTCCCGATCCTAACTCTTAAAAGGACGTTAGCGACTATTTCTACAAAAACTAGCACCGTCTTACCTTGCTGTTGCTGCTGGACCGCTACATCCAAATTTAACATGTGTGGCAGTTGAGTCGACGTGACGTTGTTAGTACACTGATCTTGTGGAATTGCAAACTGCGACAGTAGGAGGTGATTGCGAGCCTGCTGTTTTCCGTGTAAATCACGTTCCACTTGCTGTAACTGCCACATTAACAAAATTGACAAACAATAGAACCACATACGTGAAGTTCTTCAAGTATTTGTTGTTTTTGAGTGGTGCCTTCGTCCGTCAACGGAGGCGTAGTGCTAGAATGCTGTTTTTTACGCTTAATAAAATCAATTATTCCACCCCCGACTGTAGAATCCTCGCTTAGAAATTCCGAATCATCTAATTCGCTTAAAGGTAAAGGTTGTGATCGTAAGGTTAACTGCGAAACTTCGGTCGAACTTAACGATCTTAAAGCTACTTGCGATATTTCGGCATCTAGAGATGCCAGGCTCGAAGATAGACTTTTAGGTAAGGTTGATTTTCGATTAGTTATTTTAGTCGGTTGAGAATCACTTGAACGAGTCGGCGACGTAGTGGAAAGTTGATTGTTAACCGTGTCACTACATTGACTCTGGTTTGTATCGTCTTGGGGTAAGATCCGTACAGCTTCAGGAACTTCTTGTAGAACAGCCGATGAAAATTCTAAATGGGAAAATACGTATTGCTGCCGACAAAAAACCGAGTCAGTTGCTTACCTGGTGACGTAACGTTAGACGGTGGTTGAAAGAAATTTACGGGCTGAGGCAGGTTTGGTGGTAATGTGCCAGTAGGAAGAGGAGAGTCTCTGCTACCGACTTGGCCGGGCAGTATCGGCGCAACAGTACCCTGTTGACTTAACATCATGGAATGAGGATAATCTAATAACAATTGCACAACTGTAGTATGCCCCCCTTTCGCCGCTTCAATTAACATCGTGGAATTATCCTGAAGAAAAATGAAATTATAAGCAGTCAGGGACAATAACAAACACATACTTTTAACTTATGATTGGGATCCGCTCGGTGAGCTAAAAGTAATTCCACTACCGTTAAATGCCCACCGGCACATGCCAATGACAAAGGTGTATGATCATTGTTAGTTGTTTGCCGGTTAACGTCGGCGCCTTTGGAGATTAGAAACTGAACGGTACACAGGTGACCTGCTCGACAAGCTTTCATAAGCGGTGTTCGGCCTCCCTCCGATTCGTGCTCCTATCAAACACCTACGTTAGTTAGGCGACAAACCTCATTTATATCTACCAAATCCGCTCCAAATTGTAATAACAGGTCCGCGACGTCGGTATGACCGTTTTCGCAAGCATACGTAAGGGCAGTGTCGCCTGTTTGCGTTTGTGCACGTACGTTGGCGTTATTTTCTAAAAGATATTTTACTAAATCTAGATGACCCTCTTGAGCAGCTTCCATGAGCGGCGTCGAAGCTCCCAACTCTATGTCGGCACCCGCCTTTATGAGGAAATCCGCTACTTCGCTGAAACCTCCACAGCAAGCCAGCGTAAGCGCCGTTTCTTGCGTTTCATCGGTTTGTGCATTAATGTTGGCGCCTAGAAAGTACAAGGAGAAAAAATAGAATAGATCCAAAACCCTAAACTTCTCTTAGGATTGTTGAAAGTGTACAGGATGTCCTATTAATAAAGGTCACAGGTCATATCTACAGGGTGTTTTTTTGGGAGCTTTAGTTAAACGTTTCTGGGAAAATAAAATACGTCGGTTTTTGAAAATTAGTACTTAGGAGTTACTCTGAAGGCCGAATCTATGTAAAATATTTTCAGAATGTCCGCACTTCCGGAAACACCGGAAGTAGATAGTAATTCCGCTATTTTAAATGGCAACCCCTATTTTTTATTGCATTTTTGAATTCTACGTGAAATTTCAGTTCTTTTGATACCCATATGTAAATATATACCATTTATGGTTTTTAAGTTATTTTGACTTTAAGAAAAGAAATGGCGGATGCAGATGGTACCTTGATAATTGATTACTTGATAAAGGTTAGTCATATAATGGCCCGTATGAATAAAAGTAAGCAAATGCTTATACTTGCAAAATTCAAAGTAAATACTCGTAAGTGCTCCTTCCCACTGGGCGACTTAGCAGCGCTGCTGAGCAGCAGGACAGGACGCAGTGCAGTGCTGCTAAACAGACCAGCATGAAGGGGCAGTTACGAGTATATACCATAAGAAAATTCGATCTTTCCTTAATAAATCAGTGAAAACAGTGTTGCAATATCTCTCACCGTTTTCGAATAATACATTTTTAAAATTACCCCTGCAAATTCAATTTTTGACATAAAAACTTGAATATCGACCAAGACCTTGGAACAAAGGTACTCCAAATTCGACGTAGAATCCGAAAATGTAGAAAAAATAGGGGGTCCCCATTTAAAATAACAAAGTTGATAGCTACTTCCGGTATTTCCGGAAGTGGCGCCATCTTGAAAATATTTTAGTTCAATTCATCATGCGCCAAAACCTTTAAAGGACTTATTAGTTTGGTTTCATTTTCAAAGGTTCTCCATATCTTTCTAACTGACGCTCGTCAAGAATGACCCTGTATATTTTGGAGTTTTGTAAAGAGCGTAAAATGTCCTAAATTTTGATGTATCATTTGTTATATTCATATTAAAATTATTTAAAAAATTGCCTTTTATACATTAACATATTTTTATTGCAGACATCTAGGTTTCCATGGCAAACAAAAGATGACACGATTGTTTAAAACAACAATTTCTTGGTTATCTGGAGATGTTTATTAGTTCTCAATATTTTTAATTTCAAATACCACACAAAACTAAACAACGTCAAAATACGTGAATAAAATAAATAAGTAATATAATATATAACTAAATAATCCACATAACCAAGAAATTGCCCTTTTAAATAATCCTGATCTTTTGTTCGCCATAGAAATCTAGATGTCTGTAGTAAAAATATTTTTCCATCAATCATTAATGGCCTACTTTTCACAACTGTTTTTGTATAGGCAACCATCCCATCACATGTCAGTTATCAATAAGAAATGGACGTGAATAAATGCAATCAAATAACACAAGTAACTGACAGTACAATAAAATTATGTATATCAATTGCATTTATTTTCTTGTGTAACCATATATACAAGTTTAATTTAGATACAACTCATTTTCATTTTATTTTTCAATTTCCACATACAATTGAGGGAAAAATATTGTAACCATCTCGTGTGTTAATTTGCAATTAACAATCTCAACTAATTAAACTTCCAGTCTCAATTGTTAATCGCCCTTGTTAGTTAAATAACCATTAATGCATAAAATGCAATATTGCAAATATTTAATATAGATATAAGAAGTTACTGTCTACTTTTATTATTGCGAAAAAAGTCGCAGGTGTCTAAAATTTGGAGGAAGGCTTGTTTTATGACAAAAAAGAAGACAATTTTTTGGGCCCACAAAGTTGAGCTGCATGGCAAACGCCCCCTATATCTTCTTTATGGAACTAAATAGGTAGTTAATAACTCGTCCATTTACAATGTATCTAGTGTAGTATTATTTTTGGTGAAAGGTCGAAGGTGCAGTTGTGCAACTCGGCACTGTTTGCTTGTTTCCCTATTTTTAAATTTTTTAGGTAACACTGTCAGATAAAAGAAACTCAATTCATTTTTATAAGCCTTTGACGAATAAATGCAGTTTCCACAAATATAGTTTTTCTTAATAATAGTGTGCCTTTGAAAATCTATTGGAGATGGCATTCAAAATAGTATTGTTTTACATGCAATTTCAGGAAGAGATTAAATATGGTTCCATAGCATTTTGGGAAGGGGGGGGGGGCAATTTCCGATATATGCCACTATTAATTTTAAATTACCTTTGAAAATTTTGTTCCCTGTGAATCAATGGATTTGACAATATCTCAATCTTGCTAGATATAGCTAAGTATTTATATAAGTCAGCAAAATGTGATTGATGTTTATAGCGCGTTCGCACCTCCAGATGCAGTATGGTGTTTATGGACATACAGTATATGATTGCCAAACTTATTAACAAATGTGACAATGACAGTAAGAGGAGATTATGTTGTCTTTTAATACTTCAATTCAATCATATGTCAGTTTGGCATCATTGCAATAAGGAACAAGAATCGCCTTAACGAAGAATTACATAAATTAGTAAGAGGCATTTAGTCCATAAGAACCCATACTCAATACTGCATCTACGGTATAAACCACGAACTTATAAATTAAGATGGACTGCTGATCAAACAGTTGCATAGAGGTAAAAATGGCCTAAAGTCACTAGATATAGAAAGTACCGCAATCATCCGCCATTTTTGGGCAAATTTGCTGCCAACTTAAAAAAATTGACAATTAAAATCTGAATAGCTGTCATTTTTCATAACCTAACTTCATAGTACCGTCATGTTTTATAAAAATATATACAGATATCTCCAAACAGGTGGAACAATCCCTAACGTTAAAGTTACTAAAATCTGGTAACTTCCGCCATTTTTGGGCAAAAATCATGCGTTCTCTCTCTAACACACGAGCCCAATGGACTGCGGTACTTTCTATATTTAGTGACTTTAAAATGGCCCTAGCATGGGCGCCGCCATGATGACTGTGCACATTTTAGTTATTTTCTAGGGGAATTTTCCTAGTGCTCAAGTTTTGAGACTATTGCAGCCTTGGAAAATGACATGTGTCACAGTAATTTATTTAAAAAACGTGAGGTTAATGTTGTGTTAATTAATTGGGAGCGGCCCCTTTGTTAATTCAGCATTAGCAGTCCATCTTAATTTATAAGTTCGTGTTTGAAACACATAAAAGATTTTCAAAGGTGGTAGAGTCGTATCATCCTAGTACATAAGTAACATTATTAACGTTTTCAAGTTGTCACCTACCTGGATATCAGGGTAGGTTTTCTAAAATTTCTAACCCAGTTTCCAGTAAGTTATTCAATAAGTATACAATACCTTGACTAAGAAGAAGCGCGACCATTTCCTCATGCCCTTCCCTTGCCGCCTCCATCAAAGGTGTGTACCCTTCATCATTAACTTCCTCAATGTTGGCCCCCCTCTCGATTAACAACATGGCCAAGTCGACGTGTCCGCCGCACGCAGCGAGGGTCAAAGGTGATTCGAAGCTATCAGTCGGCATATTCACTTGAGCCCCAGAATCCAACAATAGCCTTGCGACTTCCACGTGCCCGTCCATCGAGGCTTCCATTAAAGCGGTATGCATTTCATCAGTTTTGTGTTCCTGATCGGCACCGGCTTCGAGTAGAAACCTCACCATATCTAAATGACCTTTGTAACAGGCTAATGTTAGAGCGGACTCTTTAAATTCGTTGGAATGAGTGTTGATGCCCGCCCCGTGCATTAGAAGAATTTTAGCGAGTTCCACGTGGCCCGCACTTGCTGCCTCCATTAACGGCGTGTGCCCGTTTTCATTGTGATCTTCTACGTTAGCACCGTGCTCCAACAGGAATTTCACTACATCCGTATGGCCGCCCGCACAGCCATACATAAGTGGTGTGTTCCCTGTAAAAACCGAGAGAATAACAACATTTTCAACAATATAAAACCGAAGTACCTGAAGAAGACTGCGCATTTACATCGGCGCCGTGTGCCACAAGTAAACGAACTATATCCAGATGACCTGCCGAAGCAGCTTCCATCAAAGGTGTGCATTCACCTTTAATGCCTCGATCTTCAACGTTTGCGTGCATCGCTAACAAAACCTAAAAACACAATTATTTAAGTGTCGTTTATCTTCCACGCAAAATATCTCCGCACCTGCGCTAATTCAAAGTATCCGGCACTACAAGCAAGCGATAAGAGACTCTCTCCTTCTTCAGATGTTTCATGCACAGATCTACCTTCACCAAGTAATTTGCGAACAGTACGAACGTCACCATCCACAGTTGCCTCCACTATTGATGTTTTTTCTGGTTGTGTTCGTGGGTTGTCTGTACGCATACGAGTTAAAGCAGCTGCGGCTTCGTCTAAAGCACAAGATACACTAGAAGTTAGCCGTCTCAGAACTTCTGGGTCAGCTAATTTCCCATCCTTTGTTGTTAACTGGCCAATACCTTTAAATACGAAAGATTTTGTGTCTGAGAAAATGTATTTTTTCTGTGACGAGGAAGTTGACAAGCAGGATAGGACAGAGCTTTCAATAATATGTACGTAGAAATTTATGTTACGCAAGTAGCTTTTATTTGTCCAGCTAATAGCAAAGTATTGCAGGAAGTAGCTGTTTTATCAAGTCGGTTTTCGTACACCCGTACAGTAATCAATTTTGAGCTACTAGTTACCGATGGTGTAAGCGCTTGCACAAAATTAAATTACCTGCTGCTTGCAGTAATGCCTCCAGACGAGCTTGCGTTTCAGGATCGACTGATCTATCCGCGTCCGGACTTAACAAAAACTTTGCCGCTTCTACTTGTGGATCTTCCTCAAACTCTTGATCGATAACAAACGACTCCACCTGTAACAAGAATGGAGTCACTACAACAAATACTTCTGTCGAATATACAAGTGTCAACTTTGACACAAACATAACCTAAAGTTTTTGTAACCGTCTATAATTACAAGCCGTGCTGAGAATTATGGCAACACTGCATGGTAGGCCGATTTCCTAATTCAACTTGGCAGATTTCAGGTGTATTTTATATGTGTTTTGTTATTATCCATTTTTGTAAATAAATAAAATATATGTACAATTGTAAGCTGCCTAAGTATCTTTCTTCTGTATTAAAACCACCAAGGCGAAACACAGGAGAGAGGAAAAATACCATTTTTTAAGAGACACAAGACGCCATTAAAACTTGAATCGGCCCACCGTTTGACTTTTAAACAACGTTGCCAAACTTCTCAGCATGGCTTGTAATTATAGACGGCTGTGGTTCAACAAACACTAGAAAAGTCGGTTTAAAGAGAAAAGTAAAAAACGAGGTAAAAAATAAAGGGTATATTGTTTCTAATAAATTACTTGAAATTTGAAACAGGCTAAAAGGTACCTATAATTGCCCTTTAGTTAATTTAATCATTCATTTCTTCTTACATTACACCGACAGCGGGAGATTTTGATACAGTTAACAATCCATAGGGTTTATGTAAGTACCTACATATAAAATAAAGAGTGTAATGGTAAAACGCTCTTATGATGATCCTGCTATTTAAGAAGAATTAATTAACTAATCCAAACGGATTCGTTTTTAACAGTTATCAATTGGGTAAACCAATAATTAAAGTTAATTGCAAAGGATTGCAAGTTGCAATTAAGATGTCTACTTGTGAATTAAGATAGATATGCAATGTACCTTGCATACATTGGGCAAATGATTGCGTAATTGACTGTTGCAACTTAAATAATTATAAAGAAGTAAAGGTTCGCCGACCTACCCAATAGATGAACGAAATCTTCACAACTGTTAAACGAGGAAATTCTTTTTTTATAGTCGAAGCTTTGTCCAACGTACCATGTAAAGAGCGATTCAAAAAATTCAGCGTCATAGTTGGCGGTGCTAAATGTTCATTGTGAACGAACCTCAATACACTTGTCTGAGGGGCCTGTCAAGTTGATTATAAGCAAATTGTTAGTTACATGATATGTTAACAATCATTAATTTTGTTGTATAAGGTGAATTGTTCTATAATTGCAATAATTCCATTATGCAGTTCTTGTTGATCTCTTAGACTGCTCAAGGTTTAACAAAAATTAAGATTTTCTGTGAGATCGTTGAGGAGTTTAGTTTTGCATTTTCCGTATCATAATCACATCCGGTAAATGCGTGGAAACCTGGTAAATCGTTACACACATCCAACACCCAAATTCACACCCGAAGATTTATGAATTTCTGTGTGTTATTGAAAAAGAGACCTACCACCATCTATACCTTGATGGTAGTGTCAATTTTACTTTCATTTCCCAAAGCAATAACAGCAATATCAATATCCATATAATAATGACTTCGTTAATTGTTGGTGGTTTACCAAGATGGTAAATTATTCACGAATCCCCCTTTTAGTAGCTGCAGCACAATTCAATTTTTACCACATCTTCGCCTTGCCACGAATTTATAGCACTTATCTTCATATGTGGTAAACACAACGTTCCTTCCAAGTAAAGCACAACAGGTAGTTTTTGCCCATGAATAGTATAAGTAATCTATAAGAGAGGCTTTGAAACTATCATTGCGAAGTGCTTTTATAAAATATGTAGGTTGGTTCTGCCAGAAATTGAGTAATCTTTCCTTATTTTTATCCCGATGATGACGTTCTACATCTTTCATGCAAGTGGTAACTTATCTTGTCAAACATCAGATGACCTTCTCTCGCTGGCACAGCACAAATCTTGCCAAAGATGTGTTCAGAAAATCGCTCAGTTTTGCAGGGGTTCCGAAAAAGTTTCAGCAAAACAGACTTGTCGGTTTTAATCATCGATCCATCAATGTTGCATGGAGACAACAACACTGGGGTCAAATGATAGTTTAGAACAAGGTGATGGTCCATCTTCTTTTCTCATCAGGTTTTATGTTTCTCAGTGTAAAAAGAATTCAAGAAATATTGACAAACTTATCTGTCGCTATTAAAGCTTCAACCGAATATCGTCTGCCAGGATATACAGGGTGCCCATTACATATGCAATATAGTTTATATTTTGGTAAATATCGAATGTATATAAAATTGCTCTTTATTAAAGTTGTTTAACATTTTTATTTTCCATAATAAGACTGCATTCAGTTGTTTTTATTTCACAAAACAAATGAGTAACGAAAAACAATTGTTTTAAATGGCAGTGCACCTTTTCATTAGGCTTATTTGATAAGACATTTTTTTCTCTTTTCGATGATGTAACGTGTTAGTATCCTAATTGAAAAAAATTTTTCAAAAAAACTTATAATCACATCAAAATAAAACAAATGAACGTGTACGTTTCTTTTTAAACCTTGAAGACATAATGAAATTAGCAATAAAGTAACAAACGTACACATTTGTTTGTTTTATTTCGATTTAGGATACCTATCTAAATTAATGTGATGTGATTATAAGTGTTTTAGAAAAATTTTCTTGTATTACGGTACTATGTTATATCATCGAAAATAGAAAAAAAATCCTTGTCAAATGAGCCTAATGAAAAGGTGCATTGCTATTTAAAAAAATTCAATTGTTTTTCGTTCCTCATTTGTTTTCAGAAATAAAAACAACTGAATGCTGCCTTATTATGGAAAATAAAATGTTAAACAACTTTCATACAGAATAATTTTGTATACATTCGATATTTACCTAGATATACACTATATTCCATACATAATGGGCACCCTGTATTTGAAATAGTGACAAAAAGAAGAATTTTTGTATGTATGACTTGTTCATGAGTGTTTTTCCCTACATTGAAAGACGTCTGTCGCCACAAACGCTGCACTTGAAATCCTGTGCCATAGCATTATTTGAAACCTATGGAAAAAATGGGATTTCTTGATATAATCTGTTGCCTTCATAGTTTAGTAATGCAGTTGATCACCTAAAGGAGTCACTTTTTGAGCGCCGCCCCAAGTGATTGCTGCCACTTACGATTGGCAGACGAGCAATTATCTAGTGGTCTAGAACTAGACTCTCGCCAACCATAGCACTTTTTAACCATGTGCAAAGACATGCATACCTTGATTGTACGGGTGCAATGCGAACAACTCCCACAGCCGTCATGGAGGTCCTTCTGGGTCTGCCTACACTAGATCTCCACGTGAGAGATCAGGTCGCTCTGGTATCTGGACTCACTCACACCTCAATTCACATTAGGGAAAAATCTTTCTTGATGAGAATGCCCCATCCCAACCAGACACACTCATCTTCATAGGTGAATCCAAAAAATGAAAGGATGGTATTTACTTCGAACAACTGATCTTCCATCCAACCACTAGGGAAACTTCCTACTGTATTCCAATCAAAGTTCATAGCCTGGCGCGTTTTTGCAGAGAGCTATCGAGAAGAACCCGATGTTACTCGTGAGCATACTTTCAGGGCATGCTAGACATGCACCACATCGATTTGGTAGAATCACGTAATCTTGTAAACGATGTTATACGATATTTTTTGAGTTGTTTATAGAAGAAATTAAAAAATATCCAGTAACCTGGAATGTCGCTGTTGAGAGTAACGTGCACACGGACAGCAATACAAAATTATTCTTCAAATATGAAACCTCGGTCAGATTTACCAAGTTTAAGTAAATACATGGAGACCTGACCTGAACATCAAACCTTGGTGGTAATGCATCTAACATAGGAAACCTTTTTTTGAGCATTAGGAATTCATTTAAAATGGAAATACCTCTAGAAACAAAGTGATCGGAAAAGCTTCATTTTGACTCAATGAAAAGATATTTTTAACATAGCGACACCATTTTCTATTTATAATAATAATATAGATTGCATCGTTTAATTTTATTAAATTGAAATTTTGCTAAAGGCGTACATACTTTTGCACCGTACAGTTTCATTGCAACTCTACGACTGATTATAATTTATAAATATCGCAAGTTACAAAGTATCAACGTCACTCATGACGTAGAGATTAATCACCTTTATTTTGGTTTGGGTTCGCAGATGTACAAAGAAATTTTTTCTCTGGCATTTATTGTTACGTGCACCAATCATTATTGCAAAACGTGTTTAATTATTTTGAACCTTCTTATGAAACAAGCTACGATAAGCTTATGATAAAAATGTAAAAAAGAAAGTACGCGACAATTTTCATGAATCAATTCTAGCAAGTCACAATCTTCAATAACGTGTAGCGTTTTCCAGAAAAAAGAAGTACGCGTAAGTAAGGACTATTAAAACGACCACGTAGCCCCAAACGGATCAGGTCTAAAATTAAAAATGTTTCACAATTTTTTGGGCTAATTTTGACTTGCAAAAGAAAATTTGGCAACGTAAAACTGTATCTGTAGTTCAAAATTTTGTTTTATACTTTTGATCTAATGAAAGACTAATTTAACCAGCAAAAGAAAAGTTTAAAATGCAAAACAAGGAAAAGCTATTGAATTAGATATGTTCATTGTCCAAAAATAGATAGGAAATATTGCATTAAAAACACATGATCGTATCAACGCGGAACGTAGTTAACACCCTGTAGAAAAATGCTGCATTTCAGTTGCGGCAATAAATGAGTATGACCGGAAACGTTCGCCCAAAATTCGCCAAAACATCATTGCAGATGCAGACTATTTAGAAACCATCTTGGGAAAATATTGATCTGGCAACAATACCAATTGTTTTAAATTGAATAACAATGGTTATTATATAAGAAAAATGAAAGTGACCTTCCAAATCTTGTCGATTTCTCGTTTGATAAATTAAAATGTAAGTTTTAGGTAAAATAGTCATTATTATCGTGTTAGAAAATCAAAAACGAGAAAGATCAATACATATTTAATATATCACATGGTGTGTTATTGTGATCGTATCCTATAAACACGCGTCG